AAAATTATTTAAAAAAAATTAAAAATTTGAATAATTTAGATTTCCCTGAACTGTTCCCAAGCAGCAGTTGTGTGGGTCGCTGCAGAACAGTGTAATGAGATGCACTGCACACCCTCAGTACACGAGCACATGCTATTGCATGAAGTCTGTTTCTAATAAGATTCACAAGCCCTGCTTTTACTTCCACGTCATCTGTTTTGATTTGCAGTCTGATTTTTGTGGAGTCGCTGTTTGGTATAGACCTAAGTGGCAGGGAAGGGGTTAAAGTCACTTGTCCAGAGTGAGCTGCACCTCTGCCAGGAGCTGGTGTGGGTGCACTGAGGACCCATTTTTGGGAGGAAGGATGGGGCAGCTGTGGTGGTTCGGATTCGTTCCAGCCCCTTCCACCCGCTGGAGCTACCTCCAGGTTCCCAGTGTGCAGGGCTGGTGTCCAAAGCCAGGGGAGCTCTCAGGAGAACTGGGGAATAATTAGCAACAACTAATTTGTTTGACAAATGCTGCCTCTGTGTTCACAAATTGGCCATGAAGAGATCACCATATTCTCTGCTTTATTTGTTGTTCAGAGTTATTTGCTGAAGGATGCCTGCCAAGCAATTCCTGGCCTGTGGCTTGTTTGCAAGCCGTTCATTGTGGGTCATTCAAAGCCAAGTCCTTTTGATTAGACACGTGCTAAGGCAGTACCGGGGCGCTTTACTGTGGCTATTTGGCTCAGGTTTCTGCTGTTGGTGCTTTGAACACCCCATCGGAGTGCCTTTTTGGAAAACATTGTGTAACGCTTTATGAAAAGAGCCTGTTTTGAGGAACATTTCTGCCAGCGAATGCACGTATTGGGTTTGGACAAGCTACAGATAAAGTGTACAGCAGGGGCACAAAGAGTGCCAAATCCAACCGCTTTCAAACAAATCCAGCAACCGCTGACAGAATATTCCTTTTCAGACCCTGTATAAGGTTAAGCATGTCCAGAATGGGGGCTTCAGCCCTGTCTATGAGATTTTTGCAAAGTATAGCCTCTGAGAGAGATAATTTAAAAATTACTGAAGGCCCTGGGAGGAGTAATTTTGGTCCCACCATATTTCAATGAGTTCTGTACTTCTGAAGCGTGAAAAGGCTCTTGAAACTGTACGTGGAGGCCCCAAGTCAGCACAGAATTTGTATGCATGCTTAATGTGGGTACTTGTGTGCAAATACATTTTTACCTGGCACATATACGGGCTGGGAACTAAGCGGGCAGAACTGTACTGGGGAGAGCAGTGCCTGTGGGGGCTCCTTACTGGGGGGAATATGCCAAAGCCCCACTGGCTGCTGCCCAGCAGGGTGGAGCTACCCCCCCACCCCAAGATGGGGTGCTGTGATCTGCTGATGGCAAAGTTTTCAGGTCCAAAGCCTGTGTCCTGAAGTCCTAGAAGTGCTCGTACAGCTCGGCGTGCATCCAGGGGCTCATGCTGGGTGCAAAGTCCTAGAAGTGCTCGTACGGCTCAGCGTGCATCCAGGGGCTCATGCTGGGTGCAGGTGAAGTAGCAGGCACAGACCAGATCCTGAAAAAAAGCAGAACTGAGCGAGGGGAATGCCCAGAGGCTGAAGTAAACTCTCTGAAACTACAAAGATCAAAATTAAGGAAATAAAGCAAAACAAAACAGAATGAGGTTAGAGTAAAACTAATACTAAAAAGAAAAGATAGAGTGAATGTCTTGTTTGTGATTTTGACAGCCCCTGAAGATACTAAAATGGAAAGCTCTTAGGAAAAGGTTTTTCTTTGCATTTGCTGCTGGCTCTACGTGAGATCTGACAAGTGTTTTGCAGGGTGCTCGTTTCACTTTTGTTTGCAGTCACTGGTCGAAAGCCCCTGCAGCACACACCGGCCCGGTGAGGCTGAAGCGCAGTGTATGCGGTCGGTCTGCAGCAGAGGAGGACGCATGGCCGCGGCTGTGCTGTGAATCCCCATGTTGCCTGTTTGTTCCGGGCCTGGCAGGCCGTGTGCCGGCAGCAGTGAGCTGGCCATGCCGGCCTGTTTCCCCACTGTTGTACCAGCTCCCCAACCTTGCCAGTGGTGCGAGCCTATCTGCCACTGCTGGGATTTGCAAAACCTCGTCTCAAACCCCAAAAGCTAGGCCTGACTTGACCAGAGCTTGTGGGCTCCTGCTCACTTCCTCTGGTTTCACAAGAGTGTCGCCCGATGGGTTTCTATGGAATTGCTCCTGATTTGCATCAGTGAGGATGTCAGCTGGCCTCAGGAAGCTCGTGATATCACTGGAGCCTTGCCTGCTGATGCAAGAAGCACAGGGTGTTATCTCACTGAGTGCTTGAAAATCTGAGGTCAGATTTTTGGGTGGTATAAATCATCATTGCTTCACGGACTTCATGGGAGCTCTGCTGATTTCCCTGTCTCCCCATCCCCATCCCTGACCTTCAAGCTAACAACTATTTTTGTGTGGGAAGCAGCAGATATTTTCTTTCAAGAAAGACGCACTTACAACATCATGCTCTGGTTTTGCTTAATGTACCACCCAAGTTGTGAAACAGTCAGAGCATCTTTTATCTGTTTGGCCTTGGTGCAGATTCACTGTCCTCTTACACAATCTTCCCCCTGCTCCCCACTCTGTCTTCTCCTCACCCTTCTGCTAAGACCCAGTGCGGGCAGAGATACTGTGCACTTTCATCTTCTGCTGACTTCAGTGAAGTGGGGGAGTGCTCAGCATCCTGCTGGATCAGGCCTTTTTCCTTTGCGATGCTGTTGAATCTTCACAAACTTCAAGGAATGCCTTGCTCAGATCTGATTGTGAGTTTTCTTGGGACTTGCCCACAGCTGTCACCCGAGGAAGAAGAGAAGCGAAGGATCCGGAGAGAGAGGAACAAGCTGGCAGCTGCTAAGTGTCGTAACAGGCGTCGAGAACTAACAGAGAAACTCCAGGCGGTACGTGCTCTGCATATGTTTCTCCTTCCTTGTTGCCTGCCCTTTGGACCAGTTTGCAGGGCATTGCTCTCCCTTTGCTATCGTGTTCAAGGAAGATGCTACAAAACACATGCTGCCTTGCCCTTCCAAGGCTGCTCAGTGACGTTGCTTCTACATCAACAGTGGTGAGGGCTTGGCCATGGAGCTCAGAAGCCTAAATTCCCCTTGCTGACTGCCCGGAATGACCTAGGAGCTCTCTTCCCTTCTAGCCTCCCAACTAGCATGAGTTTCCCTACCTCTGGTCTCCTTCCATAAGTGGAAATAAAGATGCTGTGAACCTCAAAGGCAGGCTTTAAGGACAAAAGCGCAGAAGGCATTAGGATAATCTGAAAGCAGCAGAAAACAAGGCAGATGTTGTGTGTGCCTATCAAAGCTACATCCTTTGGACTCGCCTTTCTTTGGTGGGGTAACAGATTTCCTTCACAAAGGAAGCACCATGGAGATGTGTGATCTGATGCCACAGGGGAAATAACTAGTTAAGCTGGAGAAGGTAGAGATGAGCACGAGAACCATGTGGTGGATAAGGGACTGGCTAAAGAGGAGGCAAGGGTGGGTTGTGTTGAAAGAGGCTGGAGGGAAGGCTCCAGTGCTGCCGCTCAAGAGCCAACCTGGGACTGGTTTTATTCCATTATCTTATTAACAAGCACAGCAGCAGCAGTGAAAGCACACCAGTGAAATGTGCTGCTGACTCAAATGCAGGGGGTATTCTCAGTGTAGGGGAGGCAAGACATCCTAGAGGAAGAATGTAAGGATAGTCATGACTAAAGTAATAGAAGTGAGAGGAGTGCAAAGTGGAAGGTCATATCCTGAAGGACTGAGGGCGAGTTCTTTGTGAAATGGGGAGCTCCTCACACAGGGAGGCACTAATTGCTCGCAGATTGACTTAAGCCATCAGTGTGATGTGACTATGGGAAAGGTAAATGTATTAATCTTAGGTTGCATCAAGGGATGATCCAGTAGAGATGAAAGTGTTAGTCCTTTGTGCAAGAGTCGGGCAAGTGTCAGACCTGATTGGAATATGCACTATAGAAAGAAAATGGAAACAGTTTAGAGATTGCTGTACCCTACCTCTGTCTAAGAAGTGAAAAGAATATGACTTACCTAACACAAAAAACAATGGGAGGAGATCTGAGTCCTCTCTGCTAAAGTGTCTGTCAGGCAGACAGCAAGGGAGAAGAGTCAGGGCCAAGACAGGGTGGTAGAAACTGGCCATGAGAAAATTAAGGCAAGCTCATGAGAAGACTATTTATAACCTGTAAATTGATGAAGTTTGGGAATACCCTACTGGTAGACACATGAAACACAAGATGCTCAGCTAGCAATGAGCTGGTGCCTTCTTGGCTCACGAAGAGCATGGGGTATATCTGCTCATGCCAGATGGGAACTGGACTTGATGGCCATGTTCCAGGTGAGAAGCAGTTCCAGAGCTTCTGATATTTATTTATTCCCCTTTTGTCTGTAGGAAACTGAAGTACTGGAGGAGGAGAAGTCAGTGCTGCAAAAGGAGATTGCTGAGCTCCAAAAGGAGAAGGAGAAGCTGGAGTTTATGCTCGTGGCTCACAGCCCTGTGTGCAAAATCAGCCCCGAGGAACGTCGCAGCCCACCATCCAGCAGCCTCCAGAGTGTTCGGACTGGAGCAAGTGGAGCAGTGGTGGTGAAGCAGGAGCCTGTGGAGGAAGAGATCCCATCTTCCTCTTTGGGCCTTGACAAAGCCCAGAGGTCTGTCATTAAGCCCATCAGCATTGCTGGAGGTTTTTATGGGGAGGAGGCACTCAACACTCCCATCGTGGTGACCTCAACACCAGCCATCACTCCTGGCTCCTCCAGCTTGGTGTTTACCTACCCCAACGTGCTGGATCAGGAGTCTCCTCTCTCCCCGTCTGAGTCCTGCTCCAAAGCTCACCGGAGGAGCAGCAGCAGTGGTGACCAATCCTCGGATTCCTTGAACTCTCCTACCTTGCTGGCGTTATAATCCTTCTGCGGCTCCCCATTTTGCCAGTGTGTTACAGCCCCCCCAGCACCATGGGGGGAGCCCCCCTCCATGGGATTAGAGACAGGCACAGGATCGTTCAAGCACAAGGGCAGCAAGAACAAGGATGGGGAAGTGCTGCAGCTCCAGGAAGGAGAGTGAGGACCAATGCCAGCTCCCTGGAGGCAGAAAACGGCAAGGGTGGGACTGACGAGCCAGGACTGTTTGGAGAGGGTGATGTCCCATCTGTAGGGACTTCCTATAGAAACCTCTTCATGGCTGTAGTGGACTCGGAGGGCACTTCTGGCCAGGACTGAAGGCGAGCTGCAGACAGTTGCTAGTCATCCCTTTCCTTTGTGAATTGATCTGATCAGTTGTGCTCTGTGCTTAGATCATTCTGGTTAGTTGATCTTACAACTTCTCTTTTCCCTCTCTCTCTCTCTGTCTCTCTCTGCTTACCATTTCCAATGTTGTCAATCCCACGACATTTCATCCAGTTGCTCTGAACTCTAAAGGCTTGTTAGGATCTTTCTTTCCTTTTGGGACAGGCTGTGGAAACATGTAGGGTTGCCCAGGAAGGAGGGGGGATGGCTGGGACATCTGGGCGAGGGGGGACCAAGAGGAGCCCAAGGGCTCAGCAGCAAGGGAAGAGCTCATAACTCTGAGACAGCAGGAGGCTCATGAGGAAGCCTTTCCTTTTTTAAAATGTAGATATATTTATACCCTTGGGCTCCTCAAAAAACAAGTTAACATCTCAGGACCAAAGTAGCATCAGAAAAGCTGCTGGGCTGGCACTTAGCAGTGTCTTTGGCAAGGCTGTATGCCAGTTTGGTGAATATCAAATCTGCTGCTTGTTGTTTACTTTTTCTGGGCTGCCCACTGTCTAGGGGGTATTGCATTTTCCTCCCCATCAGGGCTCCTGACTCAGGGGCTGATCACTTCGTGTTAGTAAAGCCTCCCCTCCCCTTGGCCATATTTGCAGAACATGCTACTGAAAAAGAGGTGGCACCACGTGCCTATAAATCTAGGATGGAGACTGGCAGCGGATAAGAGGGTGAAACTAGCTAGCTGTCCCCTTGCTGACTTTTTCATTGTTGGGAAACAAAGCAGTGCACATCCACCAGTTGATAGTAGCTGGTGGTGTTTGCTCAGAGATTCCCAGTTTCTGAGGTTGGGGGGGAAGGCAGTAGTCCAAGCTTCAGCACAACACAGGCCCCAAGGCACTCCTGACCAGGCAGGAATGGCATGGATGAAGTGAGGACCTGTTTGAACCAGGACAGAGCTTCTGATAACCTCTGGTTATGAGTGACAAATTGACAGCGGAGGAAAATTGATTACCATTGTTTGCATATCAGTCTTTGGCCTCTGGTTTTTTGGTTTGTTTTTTTGTTTTGTGGGTTTGGTTTTTTGATTTTTTGTTTTTTTGTGTTTTTGGGGGTTTTTTTTCATTGTAATTGGTTTTGTTAGGGTTGATTGTCCTGAAGACAAAAACAAATCAGAGGGCTTTTCCCTAAGCCCTGGGTCTTTGTCTTCTCCAACCTGTGGACTTGCCTGCTACTCTTAAGTTCTCACAGAGGGCACAAGCTTTCCAGTGCTGATGTTCACTACTGAAAACAGTAACATGTGTAACCTGTTCCCACTTGGAGCCAAGCTCAACTCCTGTTGATGTCAAGGCACTGACAAACCATGACTGTGTGCACACTGGGATTGCCCAGCTTGCCAGCTAAGCCACTTAGGGGATAGCTCTTTGGTCCTGCCTGTTGAAGCTGTGGTGGCAGCTATTTATTTTGGTGTGAGATTTTCTTGTTCTTTTGTACTTGCTTTTAATCAACTGAAACCAGGGTATTTCTTGGTCAGGCTGGACCTGGAGAAATGCAATATGCAATTATAGGGCCAGTCCTGTGAGATGCTAAACTGCTGCAGTCTCCACCAACTCCACCGGGAATTAATAGGGTTCAGTCTTGTGGAACTGGACCTTTATTCAGCAGGGCTGGCTTCCCTCAAACCCTGGCCACTGCCCGTTCCTTGAATCATTTCAAAGGGACACTACTTTGGCCCTAAAGGTAGGCTTTGTTTTTTTTATTATTGCTATTATTTTTAAACCCAGATCTTTAATTCTGGCAGTTTTTGGTAGAAAGGTATGAGTGATCTTTTAGCTTTGTAGAGCTGATTGTGATTCAGCTTTATCTTTATTGCTTAAACATTTCCATCACGATACTGGTGCTAGAGGTTTCAAATGGACCTTACACAATAAGTAAAATTGATAAAGGAGTTCTCTTGTCCTTACGTGAACATCAAAACTTCCTTTTTAACAAAGTAGACCTTAAACTTCCCATAGTTAGCACAAAGGATCCCGTTTTCATAGGTTTTTAGGTAGATTGTATCACTTTAAGTGAAACTGCTGCTTCTCTGTCTCCATTTTGCCAGATGCTTGTTTAGGCCAGTCTGGATTGAGAATCTAAAATGGTTCAATACAGTGTCTTTGCGTATCATCTCCACCTGGTTTTGGGTAGAATGAAGCATTGATATGTGGTGAATCCTAAAGTGATGCAGCTGCTTCTGAGGCCAGCTGACCAGGATGGCTGTCTGTGGAGATGAGGAACATTCGTACTGGGGGTTTCGGGAAGTCAGGTGCCTCCTCAAACCTGAGCAAGCCTAACACCTCATGGAACAACAAAAACCTACCTTTGCTTTTGCTGACTGAATCATTGCCAAAAGGAGCTGCAGCTGGCCCTTGCCCACTGCCTTCTGCCTTGCCCTTGACCCTCTCAGAGACAGGACAGGATGGTCCCCTTTCCTCTCCTGTGATACTGACAGGAGCCATGTGAAACTGCCTAGAAAAGAAGATTATTTTCTGTTACCTGGAAAAAGCCTCAAATACCTTATGCCTGCCTGTTTTGTCACTCAGACCTCAGGGGATGTCTGTGTTGAGATTGCTCGTCTCCTACCTTCCGTATTTTGTGGATTATCCTTACCTTGGTTTAGTTTCTGGCAGACAGGTGCAGCTCGAGCTCTGCTGCTGTTTAGGTCTGGCCCTGCATTCCTCTTTTCAGGTTTACTGGTGTGCTTTTTGGGAATTGACTGTCTTTCCCATCCCCAAAACAGTATTTTCCATGAGTACCTTCCCTGCCGATTCTTAAATGTACAGTGTCTCCATGTTCTGCATGTAATGGGGGTGCAAGAGCTGTTAGAACTAGTGTCTGACCAAGAGTTGTTGAAGTCAATAGAAAAAGGCCCAGGGAATTTTATCTGGTATTGGGTCAACCCCCTAGTGACTGGCCCAATTAAGCCTCTAATAACATCTTAAATTAATCAAAGCCAAAGTGGGAGGAGCAGTAGCAGCTGCATTGAAGGAAACATTCAGCTTCTAGGTGATGTTTGCCATTACAGTTTTGCCCTTGTTCCTCCTTCCCCCTTCCCAGTTGTGGCATTGCCTTCATCCATTCCTTTCTCTTAGGTGTGGAGACTGGGTAAGTCTCAAACTGCTGGCGATGTGATGGGATTTGGGACCAACATGCTGGGGACGGTAGCTTTCTGTTGTGTTTTTATAAAATTATTATTTAAATGATCTATTTAGTTCATCTGAACCTCTAATTTTGCTGCTTACTGTATGTAGGATCCACCTGGCCTTCATCCTAAATTAAAAAAACAAAATTAAAACAAACTGAAGACACCCCCCTCCTCCTTGGTATCTTATTATTTATTGGCAGGCAGCTGTCTTGTGCCTGCTCCAGCAGATCTGCCTGCCATTAATTTAACATCCTCCCAACTCACATTCTTGGTGTGTGGTTGTTGCTTCTTTTTTTTTTTTTTTTTTTTTCTTGTTGGGTTTTATCTTCATTCTAAAAGAGACTTCTGAAATGTAAGAAATCTTATTATGATACAAGTTTATTTTCATTAGGAAGGCCAAGTCAAACATTTTAGGAGGTGGGGGGAACAATCTGCATTTTATTTCTTATTTATTTATCATGTTTACATCTTTTTGCTGTTGAAGACTTGGATATAATAAAGAAAGCATTAAAAGTACTCCAATCTTTTTTTTAGGTTAATTTTTTTTTCAATTCTTTAAATAAAAGATTCTGGGTTTTGTTGTTGTCTGTATAAAATGTAAAAAGAGATATGTTTCTAAAGATGCATTATCATTCCTCTGTGAACAGTAGGTGGAGTTGAGGACAAATCTCAGAATACAATATAATAATAAAATCCCATCCTGTTTTACTTAATTGTTCCCCCCCCCCTATTCTGTATGATTAAAGGGTTATTCCACTTTCTTGTTTGTGGTTACTTGATATTAAAACCATATTAAAATGTGTAGAAAATAGGTATCCAATTGTTTTTGCTCAGTGAGAGGATAAAATGTTGTATATATCTTGATATACTGTGTAGTTCAAAGTAACATCAATAAGGGATAGTGCATCTTTATTAGAGTGATAAGTTACTAGTGTTACTAAAGTCTACTTTAAGATCCTCAGATAGAAAGGGCCTGATTCTGATTCCACTCTCCTGGGAGCAAATTGAAAGCATCAGTAGCATTTTGCTGTTGCAAAGCGGGTGTCAGAGGTGGAATCAAGCCTCAGTGACTAGTAGGCGACCATGAGGATTATTGAAGGTTTGGGGGCACCATTATCTTTTTTTTTTTTTTTTTTTTTTCCTTGAAAGTTCTAATCATGTTTTTTCTTTTTTTTGTCTGCGGTGAAATAGTTTCTGCCAAGGAGGTTCTTAAAGGTGACTGCTGAATTTGGGACCCTTTTTTGCTCGTCATGATCTTGATATTGTTCTTGCAGTCCTGGGGAATCTCAGCTCTGAGGCATTCTCTTTGGTGTTATCTCTCTTCTGTTCTTGTTATTTTATTGTAATACAGGCCTACAGTATTTGCACTAAAACAAAAATCTTGTTAGAGAAAGCTTGCTGCTATAAAAGAAAGAACATATTAAAATGGGTTTGCTTTTACAATTTTAACTGAGTAGCATTTTGTAGAATAAAATCAATATAGACTGAAAAGA